ATCATTAAATATTAGAGAAACATTAGAAATAAGTATTAAATAGAGATGAAGAACCGGCAATTCAATACATTGATACATGGCGAGATACATTATAATTTTTATTTATTTATTTTTTCAATTACTCTAAGAAAATATGTAAATAACAATGAAGTGATTTGAAAAGGGGAAAGTATAAAATAGTCTTGTAAGTTACTCCTGAGGATGACGTAGATCACGTCAAAACATGTACGTGTAGAGCGATATTTTAAAGTGGAAGCCGTATGGCTTCAATAAAGTTTTTATTGTGTAAATATAAAACATTGTTTATGATTATTTATTATAATCTAAAAAATTTCAAACACAAGTGCTGGTAGTGCATATTTAGAAATTATATTGTTTATATAATTTCTGAATTTTAGTATTTCGTATTTTTTGCACCTTGTGTGTGTGTATTATATTTCAGATGCTTGCAGTTTCATTGCCAGAACAACCACTATCTTCAAAAGCATATGCTGATATACTGACAGATCCTAATAGTAATACCACAGATACTCAGACAGTTATTCAAACAACTTTCCAGTCTGAGGATACCAACCAGCATGCAAACACTCCTGACTTGTCAACTGAAGGTAGGTAATAAATTATAATATTCAGAAACTTCACAGCAAAAAAATGTGATTGATTTATTTTCTTCTAAAAAAATACAAAATATAAATTACTGTTGCAATATTTGACATTTTTGTTACAGTTCATTACTGTAAGAGGATAATACCATCCCTTATAAACTGCCACGTGCAGTAGAAGGGTCAGATATGTGATCAGGATTGTCAGAAAACTAAGGTTTGGATGTGTGTATTATTTCATACATTTTTAATTTGATCTTTTAATTTTTTAAGCCATGTATGTGTGTAAATAAATACATAAACACGTTTTTTCCCTAAAACCTGGCACTTTCGGTTACAGACAATTAAGGAACCTTCTATTATTATTAGTCTTATATTTCATGTTATTTTAAATTTTACTTTGGGTTATCATGCTTTAGGTGTATTATCTTGACTGTGTACTCAGACTGACAGTACCACATTTATTCCCACTTCAGAGTTTATTACAGCATAACATGAATGATCAGGCTATATCAGTGAAGTTTACTAGCATTCCATTATGAATTAGCTTGAAAGAGAACTTATTTTGTAGGATCATGTTAATATTTGTATGAATGCCATTTATTTTATGTCACCCTACTAGTTTTTAAAGCATATTATTCTAATAGATATTTGCACTAAATTGCACGTGAGTCCAAGCGTTTGTTAGTTACAGGTTTCTAGTTTTTTTTCTTTGTTATGTTGGCATTATATTCCTCAGTAAGGGCTACACCCCTTTCAGAATTGTCATTTACCACATTCAAGTGCTCAACTGTCTGTAGTACCTCCCTTAGTCCTGTCTGAGCTCCCTTGACTCAGGGTTACAGTACAGAAATCAAGATGGAATTTTGGGGCACCTGGAGAATTTCTGTTGAGTTCTTTGTGATGAAATATTAAATTAACACATTCTCAGACATCCTGTACATGATAGGTAAATATGTGTAAAAGTTAGAAAATACTCAGCATAGTATAGTAGCAATATTAGAAAAAGTAATTCAACTCGTATTTTTAATAAATTACAATATTGATATCATCATGCTCTTTATTGTAGGCTAGCCTTTAATAATATTAATTTTATAAACATTACTATTATTTTAGTATATGAAATATAAATTATATAATGTATACCATAAATAGCAATAATTTTTGACTAATGTCATTTGTAATTTTGTAAATATATTTTAATCAGGTTAGACTTGATTGAGACAAAAAAGGAAAAGGAAAAAAACTTATTTTTCAAGTAAAATCTTGAGATACTTTATTGTTGGATTTTATCACATTTTTCACAGTTATTATAAATTATGTTTATAGTTCAGAACCTTGTGTTTAAAAGTTCAGTTCAACCCGCTTCAGGAGTGTTAAATTTTAAGGGTAGTTTATGGTCATATTTTTTTAAGTTGTGAATGGAAAATTATTTTTATCAATTATTGAAATATGTGTAAAGTGTTCTATTTTAGACTGCTTTATAATATAATATACTATTTGATCCTTTTATAGAAACTTGTGTTCTCCAGAGTAATGAAAGTCCAGCTTGTGGTTCATCTTTATCTGTTTCTACAATGATGAGTGCTCAGTTGGCAAATGTTTCTAGCAGTTCTTCAGTTTTGAGTCAGGCAACTACACCAGTTCAGTCCATTGTTTTATCTCTTCCTTCTGTACTAGAAAGTATCCCTTTTGAATCGTCTGTTTCCAAAGAAGATTCAACAGAGTATGTAAATGTCTCATCTCAGATTTCAAAACCTTTGGGTGATGAAATATTAATTCATCATGATTCTTCTACAAGCTGTGATGGAGCTAATACAAGCACTGATGTGAACACAAAAATAAGCATTGATGCAAATACATTAGTTTGTGCAGTGTCTTCAAGTTCAATGTCCTGTGTCTCTTCAGCAAGTACTGTGAATTCAGACAGTGGTATTTTGTCACTTCTTCCTAATGATCGTGAATGCAATACCATTCCAAAGCTAAATGTAAGTGACAAAAAAACTGATGTGAATTTTAAAAGCTGTGTTACTGGACAGAAAGACAATATTATAATTACAAAAGCACAGTGTGTGCCAGAAGTTGTTACTTCTACGACGTATGAATTAGTTAATTCTAAATCTTCAGAAGCCACAGAAGAGTCTCCCTTTGTGCCACCCAGCTGTAAGGTTCAGCCAGATTGTCAGACTTCACAGGTAGCTCAAAACTCTGCTATAAGCACTGTACCAATAAAACGAAAAAGAGGTAGACCTAGAAAACACCCACTTCAATCTATTCCTGAAGATACCAGTTCTTCAACTGTGATCTCACTGGTTTCCAATATCATACATGCTTCTCTTGCAATTCCAGAGAGTTCCTGTAACTCAAATATCTCAACAGTTGTTTCTGGCTTGACAGGACCAGCTACTGTTACTCCAATTACAGCAAATCCCTTACCAGTCATTCTTCCAAAGCCAGAAACTACAGCCAAAATAGGTAAGTTACTGTTTTTAACTGTATAGTTTTGTAAATAGTGTATGATTCCTAAAGGCTTTTAACCCTGCAAAGGAGTATCTGCTTTACATTTGTTTTCATCCTAGCCACTACCTTTTTTTTTTACTGGAAGAGACTACTATACTTGTAAAATAAGCATATGTACTAGCTATCAAAGACAATCTAAGGTATTTGTAAAAGACATTCATGTACCAGGACTGAAAAGTTATTATAGTACAAAAACAAAAAACTAATGACCAGCGCATTATTTCCCAATGGGTGAGTCAGGTAGCTGCATAAGGCCCTATATTTACAAGAGTCCTCAAACCTGCAAAGCCTGGATGGACAATTTCTAAAAACATGGTATAGAATGAAACAAAAGAAAAGAGAAAATAATATGCTACACTTTATGTTAGTATAATTATGTAGACAATACTAGAATTCAATGCAATACTAATACTATTCAGAATTGTATATTTTAGTAAGAACATTCGTATAAAACCCCCTGCCTTCTGGGGCAAGGCCTCACTTCCACTTCCTCCCTTTACCGTCTAATCTTGCCTGCTTTCATAATTATTTTTTAATTCTCATATGCAGGAGAGGTGTAGGGGCTCTTAAACAATTTCTAGACATAATAAAATATAGTTCTACATCTATAGTAAATTGGTAACAATATATTAATACTACAATTATTTTCAAATTGTTAGTACTACAAAACACACTAATAATCACATAAAACACCAGTAATGGTAAGCCAGTGTTAGGGATGAAAGAGACACTTTGATAAGTGTATAAACAGGTAGAGATACTGACAGTGCTAGTTGAGAATCAAGAAAGATGTGTCTGTACAAATATACAAGTTCTAATACCATGCATAAAAGACAAAAACAAACTTCATTATATCTTTGTGTCAGGTGTTTCAAATAAGTTATTCAATTATCAGTAAAGTCGTATAATAATAAGAAAAGGTGTTTTGAATTATATTAGTACAAATAATGTAAAAAAATGATATTTAAGAACATGAAGCTTAGAAAACATTGAGAGGATTTGAATAGTATAATATATGCTTATAATCATAATTTAATTAGAGTATACAGTCAAAGCTCTTATTTTTTTGTGAAGTTATCAGCAAGGCAAACAAAGTATTTCAAAATTTTTAACATATCTAAATTCCCAGCTTTTTAAATTTAGTTCACTTCTGAACTTGATGAACATGGATTTCTTTCTTTTCTAGTTATTAAAATAACAAAGTAGATAATAATTTTTTCTGCTTCTGTTTATCATAAAAATACTTTAGTAACTATTCATAAAAATATCAGTAACTTTTCATAAAAATGCTTTTAGTAACTACCCATTCTGTTTATTCGCAAATGTGTTCTAGTCATGTTCTATTTAAACAGAATCTTAGATCTTTGCTCAAATTACAACCTTCTACAAGAACATATTACTTTGATACAAAGCTTCTAACACAAAATGGCTACCCAAAAAACTTTGTAACTATCATTACACAAAAGTTCTTTAATAATCAGTTCCAACCTTGTAATAAACCTTGCATTGTCCTCACATTTTTTTCATTGTCTACCTACCTTTAAATGGATTCAGAAAACCTACATATTGAAAAAAAAAAAGAAATTTCCAGACTGATGAAAAACTTTCACCCTCAGATTCAACTCAAACTTGTTTCTAAATTAAAAACTTCTAACTTCTTTCAATATAAGGTATGACTACCAGTGCTTTTGTTCATGATTCATATATAAATACATGTGTAAATGTTGTAATGTTGCATATATTGACAAAATTGAATAGTATAAAACCACTAAAATCTAGAGTCTACGACCACTTCATTGCTTTAGGTGTAGCTTGTAAAACTGGCCATTATATAGTAAAACCTCAGTCAGTACTTCGGTCACATGAAGAATCCTCTGTTCATAAGATACAAGTTACATCATTACAACTGGATCTACAGCCCTTCAACCTCTTTTTTTTTAAAGAAAGCCTATTAATTGCAAAAGATTATCTTTACCTAAGTGCTCTGGTATTGGGCAAATGGTTTCATTAGTACTGGATACAGTGTAGTTGATATTGTTATACACCTTGTCTCTTTTACTTTCACTCAGAAGATATTAATAGATAATCTGAAGATGTCTTCTGAACTAAAATGATTGACAAACAACTATCAGTAAATATTTCATAAATTGAAATGCAACTAATATGTTTTATTTTATTCCTAGTTTGTATTATTTAATGTATAAATGTGCTTGCATCACTATTTATTTCATAATAAGATTATTATATTTTATACTCTGATTTTATTTATTCTAGTTTGCATCCATATATTCTACTGGTCATTTCTTTTTGATGTTTTCTTAAACTTTCTTTTTTTTTATTATCATTTGGATTTTACTTTATTTGTATTAATATATCTTAATTCCGTGTATACAAGTTAGAATCAAAGTACACAAGTCACAACCTTTTCGAGAGTTATATTCAAAATGTAATTTAATTACTGTATTAGCAATGTATACAAATAAACTTGGCATCAAAGAGTAGCTAATAAATGAAGCTTTAATATTATATAAGTTGTAATTTCTTATTTTCAAAAGGAAATAATTAAAATAAAATCTCAGTCTTTAATTCTTTGTATCATATGACACTTGTTCACTCTGAATTGTTTATTTTAGTTATTTCTATTGCCCCTATATGATGTTCTAAGTTGAACATAAATTACACATTTATGACCTAGATGTTGGTAAGAGAATCTAATTTTATAGTCTCCAGTTGTCTTTCTTTATGGATATATAAACCAGAAAGTTAAACCTACATGTCCTGCTCATCTATCACATCATTCTTTCAAAAAATGTCAGTAATTCTCTCTGACATTTGTTATTGAATTATTTATAACCAATAGAAAGAAAATATTTGAACTTACTGATTTCTGTATAAGGCTAACTGGTGCTACTATAGCGTGAGGTCTACTGCCATATGTTGTCTACCCAGGTCTATCAAATATGTATAAAAATGTATCAAATTAAGTGTTTATCGCTAAAATAAATGTATGGAAATGTATGTGATATCCATGAGGGATAGATAATGCAGCGGTAGACCTCACGCTATAGTACTAACGGGAGGTAGACCTCACGCTATAGTGTGGTAGACCTCATGCTATAGTAGCACCAGCTAACTTGTTTTCATGATAAGATTTGAACTATTTGGCCTGCAGATTCATTGTTGCTATGTTCAGATCACCTTGACCAGGTATGGGAATTATTTTAATCTAATTACAGCTTAGTTAGAAAGCCAGTTAAATTATGATAGTTTTAGGGCATTTATTTTGTGTGTTAATATTCCGCATTCTTAAACATACATTTTAATTCAAAATTATTTTATGTGCTACTACTATCATTACAAAAAAGTAAAGTTTTGTCAGGGGCTGAGGGCAGAAGACCAGACGTAAGTACCAAATTTCTCATTTTTTATGTATTTTTGTAGTTATTGTTTGTTATAAAAGTAACTAATAATAAAAATTAGAAACTGATTAGATTACATAAGAAAATACAAATGAAAAACAAAATTAAATTAAAATTTCTCAGAAAGGTATGCATACAAGTTCATTGTCCATTATGTACTTCAGTGATTTGTTTACCTTAATTTTATCTATTCACTAATCAGGTAATTTAAACCTTTGTTATGGAGATTTAATAGTTAGACATGGTTCAAAGAGGAATAAAACAAACAAAATAAAAGCAAAGTGTTATGAATCTGAGGCTGTATAGGTTAAATAATTCTGATTTTCTCTTACAATCTGCAGTGATTCTAGAAAGAAAAAAGGTTGATTTAGATTGATATCTTTTTTTTTGTCTTCTTTTTATTGTGGTTACAAAATTGATCAAATGAACTGAGCTCACATAGTGTTAGGATAGAGGAAATAACAGCTGAAATATAAAGTTTTGATATTCATTGAACAGGTTATAGTAGTTAGGCAAATAAAACTTGGAAACTGTAATATGAAAACGTATCTTCATTCTTAACAAGAAAATCTTCTTGCACTAAGACTAATCAGTCTGAGTCAGACCGAATAAAGTACGTTCAGAAACAAATCTTTAGTAAAAATACTGTATTAATAACTTTGTTTTTTTGTATGCATAACATACTTGTAATGTTTTCTAAACGGTCATTAAATTTTGTGAACATACACTAAGTAATTTCTGAATTATATTAAACATTAATTCTCCAGTACGAGCTTTGTAAAATAGATTGACCCTGTGCACATAGGATTAACACATCTCATTTTCAGACTTTGCTGATGATGTAATCTGAAATGTCCAGTATCTAAATAAATGAAAATGCTTTATGTTCTAACAACTATCTGTTTTCATTAGTATACTGTACTTTCTTATGAACCTAGTGATAGTAATTTCTTTTGTAGCTCTGCAAGTGTGACAACAGCTCATATCTGTTTTTCATATATTTGAGTATTTTATAGTTCTACAAAAATGATAGCAGTTCTAGTATATGCAACCTATTTTACAAATATAGTAGTATCTTTTGTAGTTCTACAAAAGTGATACCACTAAAAGTACATTTCTGTTTTAAAAATACAGTAAAGTGTCTTTTGCATTTATATCAACATGACAGTGCATTTTCATATTTTACAGATATATATTTGTGTTATTCTATAAACCTCACAATGTAACAACAGATCTAGTGCTGGTATATATACACATATACAGAATACATCTTTTGTTCATTACAGTATAAGTTGTGTTTATTCTCACCAGAAGCTTCTTGAGTAGACCAATAACATGGAAAAAAAACACACTTCATCCACTCTACAGAATATTATGTGAGATGCTTGGATAGTGGAAGTGATGCCTAATACGTAATGTGGTGTGCACATACATGTATATAGAAATCTATTTTCACTACATTGAATATTATTTCGGTGCATGTATCATAATTGTTATTGATATTTAGGTACTTGCAAAAAGTTCCTAAGTTTTTGTGTCTACCAAAGTTGCCCTGTCTGGTCTATTAGTACCAACTTCATGATCAATGGAAGTTATCCTACTGAACTCGGTCATTGCCCACTTTAGTAGTTGGTAGAACATTTTCTATCCATGATAGATAGATTTATTTAAAATAAAAATTTAGTCTTTAACCCTTTCACAGCAGGCTTGTGCAATTTGTCAAATTGAGTCACAACTTTTACTTGTACAACAATACCTGCAGTAACTCTGAGATTTTGTAATTTATCCTCTCAAAAACTGGTAAGATTTTGTTAAAGATCATAAGTATCTTGTATACAAACAATGATGTTATTGTAATTGTTTTAACTAAAAGTGTTATTTTTCTGTTGTAGTTACTTGCAATCAGACTATTAACAAATTGAGTGTAAGGTGATTTTCATTTTAAGTATAAAAAATCCTTTTCTTTGTCTTATCATTTTCATATTTCATTTACATAATCATGTAATATCTAGAATCTTCTAAAAGGATATCAAAAGTTTTTTAAAGGTCAACAATACCCTCAAAGCATATTACAGTTTCTTTAGGAGTTATGCGCAGCTGTTTGCATAAAATCATAAGCCTTGAGAACAGACCCAAAGTATGATGTACATTTAAAAAATGTTGAAACTCGTTAGTTATGCATTTTAAAACAACTAATACATAATTAACTAAAATATAATAGTAAGACCTAAATACAATTTAAACTGTCTCTCTAACTATAACATATTTAGGTAAGAAACAACTAAGTGCTGTAGTTGATCAAGCAGTCAATAATACTACAGTCAATTGCATGTAATCCATAATTTCAAAATAACAGCTGTTACATTATTGTGTACAATGAGCTCTTTCTAGTGATAATACATGTGTATGTAGCATCTACATGTGTGCTGTAAAGCTCAAAGAAATCTGTTGAAAAGGGCATGGCACCATCAGCAGTTGAAAAAAATTATTACTTGTTTCAACTGTATTCATTCAGATAACTTTGAAATGAATGAGTCAAAAGGTATTGTAAGCAACTTATTGTCTAGACATACCTGTACTCAACTACCATTATATTATTGAAGATACAGAAAGCCAAAGTAGAGAATTTTCATAGCTTTGTTGGTCATGTGACAATACATCTGAAGCTTTAAGTAGTTTTTTAAAGGTTTATTTTGAAATAAATAACTCAAAACTTGGATTAAATAAAACTTCATTACATAACATACATTATTATATTAATTTCATTCACGTACATTGATAGTAAAGGTGTTTAATTGAATTTTGAAGGTAACACAGTGACTTGTGCAGAAAAGCATTTAAAGGGGCTCCTGTTGTGAAAAGGTTAATAACTTTATTTATTCATTGAAAATTGCATTTAAGAATGTCCAAAAACAATGCATAATAGTAATACCAGTTTAGAAAGCAATGAATATAGGAAGATTATATACTGAAGACACATTCAAGCTAGGTTCAAACCTTTCATCACAAATCAGATCATTTAGCTGTTCTTGTATGATCAAATGAGGCAGTTTATGTTGTGGTGCCACAGGAATAGAATTACTAGATGAAGATGATACCTTGTCTTCTTCACAGCATAACTTTTCTGTTTCCCAGTTCACTGGTGGATGTGGCACTGAAAAACCATGCCCAAGAAGTACTGATTCCATTGGAGATGCAATATCTGGGTAGTTAATGTATTGTTTAGTTTTGGCTGAATATACAGAAATACTAGTCATGCAAAAACAACAATCAATGATATGATCTTTGGGCTCACGCCATATCATGGGAACTGCAAATGGCATACTTACTCTCTTCTTGTTCAGCCACTTCTCAAATCTTCTAGCAAATTATATCAAAATATATAAAACATAAATTTTAGGAAATCCCAAACAAAGGAGCTTGTTAATTAAATTTATGGGATGTCACATGACAACATAAAAAGCAGAACACTGTTGCCTTATTGTGCTGCATTTGATTGTCTGAGTAGCAGTATATGTTGAAATAAAATGTTTATTAGAGTAAAAATGGAGTTTTCACTATTGAAAATGTTTGATTAAATAAATTTTTCCTAATTTTCTTAAGTTATTGATATTTCTCATATTTGGGTATCATTTTATTAGTGAAAATAATTAGTGGGAATTATTATCTGTATTAAACTTTGTCTACATTGCTCATGAACTATTACATTTTACATTATTGAGTAATACAAAGACTGTATTACGTTTTAAGGATTTAAAATTGTAATGTGATATATTACACATTTTCTTCTGAAATATTTGTAATAATCAAAGATAGAGTAATTAATATGGTAGTAGATAACTTCTGAATACCATATTTAAATATTTACCATGTGTATAATTCTTCAATGAAAGCTGATGTGCAGTGTTGTAAGATTAACTTGTCTGGGTTTTTAGACAAAATGACATTTTAATATGCTTTAATGTATGTTCTTGCATTCAGATATTCAGTAGTAACAACATTGAGATGTTCATGTTTTTTTTTAACAATTTTATTCACAAATTATGATCTATAGTTAAAGGAAAAATTTTAGATGTGAAAAAGATAGGCTTACTTTTTCTCTGCACACAGTAGATAGTCCTCGCATGTCTGCCTTTGAGATTTTGCACATGCCACTAACCTTGAGCTGTCTCCCACCTAAGACAAGTAGCTCCAGGCTAGTGTCATGCACAAAATCTCAAAGACAGACATACAAGAAATAGCAGGTAAGGAAAAATGTTAACTTTTCACACAAGATAATTCCCTGTAATGTGTAAATATGTCTTATACTATCATCCTTTTTATTATATGACTGCCTAGGTTTAAAAGCAACTGAAAAAGAACTTCAAGACCTGAGATGCCCAAAGTGTAGTTTTCAAGCATACTATTCTCACCAGTATCAGGAACATCTTGTTTTACATTCAGAAGAAGCAAAACACTGTAAAGTGTGCTCATTTCTCTGTTTCACAGAAGAAGAACTTATTGAACATTTCAAGGTACTGAATTGACATTATGTAACTTAGCAGAATTTTGCATACTTTAGGCTTTAAAATGATTGTTGTGGAAATCTATGAAAGTAATAATGAAATTGAAGTGTAATCACAAAATACCAAACTTTTAATGTATAAAATGTTGCCGACACTTTAAAAAACAATGTGTATTGATCACTTGCATTGAGTATGAATGATGTGAAGGATTATTTTAAATTTTGAACAGTTTAATGATTACATTTATAATTGTTTGTTTGCAATTTTTTTTATAATTACGTCCACAGAACAGTTAAAAGTGCTAAGAACATTTGCAGTCTTATTGCAATGTTTCATCAGTCTCCTATAAAAGTATACACTAAAGGCTTATAATAGAGTGTGCGAACTTCATAAAACACAATGTGGACTAGAAATTGTTTTAAAACTATTATATAGCTATTTGAACTTGTTTTGAAGCATAAAGTATCATGTTTTGAAATACATCTAACAAATCTGAACCACATGTTACTGTTTTCCATGGTTTTCCTAAGTTTATTTAGATTTCATATTTATTAGCAAGGAAATCACATGTAGTATTTTGTGTTTACATTTCCTTTTCTCACAGGTCATTTGTTTAAAACATTAAGTATATGTTATAAGTGTTCTAAGCAATAGTGATTTTGATCAAAACAGATTTTGTAAAAGTCTAGAGCACATACACATTGTTAGTGTGAAAAAACCCAAGGCAAGAAAATTTACCATGGCAATATTTAATTGATGTTTGTATTATTGTATTATTTTAGAAATAATCGGCCATTGGCTGAGGTTATAATCAAATTGCTGTAGATGCTTTTATGAAAACTAATTGACCAATCAGATAAAACCCTGACATCTAATATGTCTCTTTGATACTATTGGCTGTATTTTATTAATTTCTAGAAAGAAAGAATAAGAGGGGATTTGTACCCCCTAGATCTGTGCCTACTTACACAGTGTTAAATAATACAGTTATTAGTTTCTGAAAACAATAGGTGGGAGTTTGGACTCCTACACTAAATCCATGCTTGCTTAAACAATATTAAATAATATAGTTATTAATTCTGAAAAAAACTTGTGTGGTGGTTCCCTACTTGGAACCCTCCAATAAATCTTTGCATGTTTATACATTAAAGAATACAGTTGTCCATTTGTGTTCCTGAAATTAATGAAGATCTGGACCCATGAGTCCCTCCCTTAGATATGTGTTTGCTTAAACAAGATTAAAGAATACAGTTATGTAGTTATAAGTTAGAAACATAACACTGTGTAAAAAAAGCAGTAAATTTACACTTTATTTAATACTTTAGTAGCCATAGAATTGATAATGAGTGCTATCGGCCAGTTTCCTTCCCCATAGATAGCAATTTAAAATTAGTGTTAGTGGCAAATAGTCTTACTAGCTTTGCAATAATAAAAACATGGCAAGAAAATTTAGTGGCAATGGGAATCAAACTCAAAGGCTCTTAAATCATGAAGCATCCCCCTACACATGATTGTTATGTTTGATTGTTTATAGTTAAGCACAAAGCTACCCAATGGGCTTTCTGTGCTGTAGAATGCTTATAACATTAAAAATCAGGTATCAATACTCGTAATAGGACCTTCATTTTGATTAGTTGATTATTTTCATGACAGTTGATTCATTCTTAATTTCAATTAATCAATTATTGGAATAATAGGAATTCAGTAATAATCAGAAACACTAATTGCGATTAGTTGATTATTTTTATGACATTAATCGATTAATCGTAATTTTGTTTGGATACAATAAACTTAGGAATAATATTCAGTAAATAAGGATTTGATTTACTAGAATGAATATTTTGCCATCTCTACCTTACTTTAAACTTATTTGATAAGGCTTACCTGATGTCTTATCAGAGAAGGAAATCACCATAACTTTTAAAGAAGTATAACTGAATACAAAAACCTTTGCAAGAATGAAAACAATGTCTAAAGAAGCTATAAAAAATCCCATATAAGTGGTATTTTCCTAGGTCTTATAAACTTCCTAGTAAGTTCTGTTCTTTTCTGCAGAAGCTACATATAATCACTTTTATTATGAAACCATACATTATTTCTCACATCACTTTACTTACTCTACATTGATGTAAATAGCTTATAATCTTCTTTTTCCTTCAACTATTTTTAAAAGCTGTTTGTCATTAGTTGTTTTCACTCTTTTATGACATCACAGTATTTGATTTTAATAAAGTTCTGTATTAAATCATCAGACAGAGAAGGAAAACCGTGAGAGAAACAAGACTTGGTTAATTTTATTCTGAAGGAATGACAGTTTCATATCAATTAAAATGTATACTTTGGGACAGACAGTAACATTCTAAAAGAATAAACAATTGCATTGTTTACAAGCAAGACTCCTTCAAGCTTTGCAGAAATGTTAGTTTGAAAATTGTCTTTATTTTTCTTTGCAAAGTACACTAAGTAAAAGTTACAAAATATCCATTTTAAAATATGTGAGTAAAAAATTTTTGAAATATAATAAATATTTTACTTAAATTTTGCTATATAATGTGCACTTGACACCTGAAACGTGTCCACTAGTCCAGAATGGATTAATCAGTGATTACTTTTTATATGCTTTATTACATTATCTTGTTAGGTTAAACAGTGATCACTCTGAATATTTTCCTTACTGCACTAGCACGTGGTTGCTTCCTAGTTTCTGTCCTGTATTAGCATGTGTAAGTTAAACAGTGATTACTTCCTAAGTTCTGTCCTGCATTAGCATGTGCAAGTTAAACAGTGATTACTTCCTACATTCTATCCTGCATTAGCATGTGTAAGTTGAACAGTGATTAGTTCCTAGTTTCTGTCTTGCACTAGCATGTGTAGGTTAAACAGCAATTACTTCCTAGCTTTTATCCTGTACTAGATTGTGTAAGTGGAACAATGATTAGTTTGTATGTTCTATCCTGTACTAGATTGTGTAAGTTGAACAGTGATTAGTTCATATGTTCTATCCTGTACTAGATTGTGTAAGTGGAACAGTGATTAGTTTGTATGTTCTATTCTGTACTAGATTGTGTAAGTTGAACAGTGATTAGTTCGTATGTTCTATCCTGTACTAGATTGTGTAACTTGAATAATGATTAGTTCATATGTTCTATCCTGTACTAGATTGTGGTACTATTTTAAATTCCTTTTTGTATATGGTACTGCATTACATTCAAAATCAAATTAACATTATAATGTATGCTATAATTTTAATGTTATCTAAGATTTAAGGAAACCTTTAAAAAAAATACTTAAACTGCAATTTTCACATCGTGATTCACGTGCTATGAAAATTCTTGACTTCAGCACCCCTTTTCTCTTAGTCACAAGCTGTGAACAGGAGTTTGTACACACTAAATACGAATGTTTGACCTAACTGGCATGTGAGATCTAATGTCTACAAAGTGGGTGGCTTAGGAAACAGATGTAAATTTTCCAAACTGTAACAAATAGTGCCTTCGTGGGCTTAATTGTTGGAGTTCAATTAAAACTGCCCGTTACACCAAATTTATTTATTTGGAGGATTTGTCGTGACGAGTGGAGCCACAAGTTGCCAACTCGAGGTAATTTACAGTAAGAATAAAGAAACAGAGTCCCAGACCAGCATTGAACAATTATAACAACATTTATTAATCATTTTTAAATAATATCCAATATAAATCAAAACTTCGTTAAACATTACACACTTCTCAAACACTGTTAATTGATATACTCTTTAAACACTGTTAAGATAGGTTTTTCAGCATTATACATAGATATACTTTAACATACTATTCTTAAAGTTACTTACATTAACTGATTAAGAGAGAAACCATAAACTCTACTTACAATGGCATTGGATTAGTAATTCTGCTGATGTTAGAAACTTTCATGCTTCTGAACTTCACTGCAGTTACAACACAGTTCTAGAAAATTTCTGAACTGCTGGCAGAACTGATTTTCCAGCCCCAGACATGGGTTTATAAACCAAAATTTCTTGGTATTATCTCGACTATCCAAATAGTATCCTGCACTACCCACAAGTAGTCCTGCCACTCTATTGGATGCTTTAGGGGAATTCCTGGGCTGATCCAAAACTATAACCAGAACTCTCAAGTAGTTGGTTACTGTTATGTTGAGTTAGCCGGTTGCCTATTTACTTGTACTACTACACCCATGTCCTGTAAGCGATATCACCTCAAAGTTCCACTTTTGCTTATTAGCTACGACTTTTCCGTAGCTTTCCTAGTTCTAATGGGTTATTGTAAGTAATCCATTAACCTGTCACGGGTGCTCGTGCCCTTATTTCATTTCTAGGCAACATTTTTACGTAACTAGGCCCCTGACCTTGTTAACCCTGCTTCCTAGTTCCTAGTCTTACACAGGCGTCTCCTTGTCACCTCCTTTTTTTTTATATGTCTATGTCTACTTAATACTTGAAGAACTGTTTTAACTTTATTCTTCAACTCTTTTCAATTAATAAAATCCTGAAGCAATTGTAAAATTTCCTTTAAAATATCCAATTGCTTCAAACCCTTGATGGTTGCCACTCCCACTTTCTATACTTTGCCTTAAGATCTACATTGTAAATGTAGTTAGTTGACAGAAGTGTATATAGTCATTAGCAAGAGCTCAGTTGATGCTATACTCTACCAGTAGTTGATTTGAAATTGGCATGAAGTTTTCATTACAGTGTGCATGTAACTGCCATTCATATTGTTCTTTGCTTGATTGACTATAGCATGTACAGTGGTTTCATACCTAAATATGCTAGAGCTAGAGAGACAGTTAAATTGAATTTAAATCTTACTTATATATATGAGTTAATTATGTATTATGTAGGATTTCAAAATCATATTTGAATGGTTTAATGATTTTTATAAGTTTAACTTGTTGCCTAGATTTTGAAAGGTTATAAACAAGATGGCGTGTATAAGCACCATATTATTTTGGCAATGCGTCTCTATGGGGAATCTGCTGAATTACCTTCATAAAGCTTTGTGGGCATCAGTTAACATATGAGCATAAACGATAATAGACAAAGAATTTGAAAGGAAAATTAAAAATAAACTATGAGTGAAAAGATAATGACTTGAAATTACATATATAAGAAAAATATGACTATTCTAGTGGATTTCTATGAGGATTTGAAAGGTATATAGATATATTTCCATTTGTTAATTTTAAACATTTCATTGCACCGTATGCTGATGATAATAAAGTTAGTAATATAGTAGAGAAAATGGAAAATAAAATATAAATATTTACCTTAAAAATTTTGGTATTCATTTATGAAGTCCTAGAGATTATACAAATGAAATGTGAAAACTGTAAGATAAAAAAAAAATAGTATTTTAATACTTTATATAAAAATCACCTTGCAGGTGAACTATTCAAAGTGTGAGTGCAAATAATTACATTAAATAACAAATTTTTTTTTAGAAATAGTAGAAATAATCAAAATTAAATGTTTTATTTTTCTGAAACTACATACTTTTAGGAATGTTCTTGTCAAATTTTAAACAATTTCATCCAGTAGTTTTATTTTTGAACAAAATATGATGAGAACGATGTTCTCTACTAACAAAAAATTAGTAGCTAGTAGTCATAGGGTTAAGCACTTTAACCACAGTGTGTGAATTGCTGTTCATATTGAAATGTTAATGATGTCATGGGGAAGTGTGTGTTCATTAATAAGTGGCTGGAGGACAGTCAATATAGCTATCAGGTTGGTCCAACACAGCAAGTACAAAGCCTATTGTAGGGTGTGTACACTAGTTCAGTGCTAACACTTGTGCTTAACACATTTCTTGCTTGATGATTTTTTTTTAGTTTTGAAATTTTACTGGCTTTTTAGAGGAAGTTGAAGCAAAATTCAGCATAATACATGAGTGGATTCTCAGTAATGATGTACTTTTCATTAATATTCCTCTTGCAGTATTATGTGATCCAATAAATAGCATACAAATCTATGTGTGTAGGCCTTAAATTTGTCTTTAGCTTAGTCTTAAAAGATCTCAAATTTAGCTAGTTGAATGTACAAGGAATCATGTAATGTGTGTATACATTAAACAATGGTTATGTTGGTATCATTTAGTAAATAGTCTAAATGTAGGTTAAAAGTGGTTATGTTCTTAGTTTTCCCTTATGTACTAGCTTGTGTTGATTAAACAGTGGTTATGTTCCTAGATTTTGCATTACACTAGTGTGTGTGTGTGTGTGTGTGTGTGTGTGTAGATTAAAAAATAGTTGGTTTCTGTATAGTGTGTCTATTGAATAGTTATTACACTGCTGTATTTTGTTATGTATTTGTGTGAGTAGAATGAACAGCTCGAGTTTTTGCTATGTACTGTTGTGTTATGTATTATTAAACAGTTGTCACTCTGCATAAGAAACAGTAATTGGCCTTTCAGGTTCTGTCAAGTGTTATATATATATTGTGTACATTTTAACTAGTGATTATCTTTCAATTCATTTTACAGGTTCTTCATCCAAAACTGATTTGTTCAATATGTAACCTCACTGCTGAGCATGTGTATGTCATTAAGAGACACATGATGCGGCACACGGAGAAAAGTAGTATCTGTAATATATGTGGAAAATCATATAAGGTAAGAACGTGTTTTGTATTTTCTCAATATTGCTGTTAATTTTCTGAGAGAGATGTTTTATTAACATGGTTGATAATTGAACAAGATAAGAAATTCTTTTTTTTAACATTTCTTAGTATTGCTAATCAATTATTCAAAGTAATACACCATTGTGATTAATGGTTTACCATTTCAGTTCTTATTTGTAGTTATTTGTAGGCTACCTAAAAAGTTATAATTTTCATGTGATTTGATTACATAGGTTAAAACATTATTGAAACACTGAAAATTTAAGAACATTAAATGAGGCCTACTGGATGGTAAAACCAGTTAATATGTACTAGATATCTGAGTAGTTTTAAATGTACTATTGCCATTGAGACAGTAAATTAATCTTTAATTATGTTTCTTTTGGTGAAAATCATGGTAAAGTCAAAGGTAACAAAGCCTTCTCATCATCTTCTAAATTGGTTTATTTGACAAAGATAATTTCATAATTCAGATGGAATACAAAGATTAGCCTGTCCTGCCACTGTGTTTAGTTAAAGACTTTTGATTTGGCAACTTATGAAACTTTGGTTTCATTGTGTGTATCAAAAGTACCTAAATTCAGCAAGTCATCCCATGTTTTTATTGTAAGAAACTAGATCTTTTACTTGTTATTTTGAATAAAAAATTACATGATAGTCACCATGCTGTTTTAATGAAGCTGGTGGTGTATAAATAGATATTTTGTTTCTCACATCTAATAATAGATTTTGGACTATAAGTGGTTTTTGTTTATGCAGTATGCTGTAAATACATTGTTTTAGTTAAACATTTCAGGATCAGTATGTGCTTAAAGCACACATCAGAACTAAACACTGTCCAGTGGGAGAGCTTTTCGAATGCAGTATCTGTGGAAGAGAGTTTACTCGGAAAGCACATCTGAAACGACATGTGAGAACACATAATCCTTTCAAGCCTTACCAGTGTGATCTTTGTGATTATAGGTAGGAGGATTGAAAATTGAGTACTGTTACACAGTTATTTGTGTATCATGTTAAGAAGTAATTACTTGTAAATATATTATTGGAATGGTATTTTACAGATGCAACAACTTTAACATTTGATGCTATGGTGTTCTGAAACTATTTTGTCATGCATACTTGCTACCATTTATTTCTCTTACTGGGTGATTGTTAGTATTGTGAATTTTGTAATTTAAAAATTTATTTTTAAGTATATTTATTAAAAAAGGACTCTCCAGTTTTTCAACTTTGGTAAAGCACTTTTTGGCAACAAATTTGCTGGCATTTGTCATTTTCTGTAGGGTTTGCATACTGATACTTGAATTATAAATAATGAATAAAACACTGTGAAAGAAAAATGATCTTTTAATGATATTATACTTTACACAATTATAAAAAATATGTGTTTTTTCTTCAAACTTTAATATAAAGAGTTTGTAACTGGTCATACAGATTTCACTGTTAACATCTGTGTTACTATAGAGCTGCCACTATCATATTTTCTTCAATAGTTATTACTTACTTCCAAAGAATTTTGAATTTACTTTTATGGTAAAGTAAAAATAATCTATATAATGAATGCATAGTCGTTGCCAACTTTTCATATTAGTATTTGATTCTGAAAGAAAATCACTTAAAAGAAATATGTGTGTAATTTTATTTACTAATTTGTGTTCACAGAGCACTATATAAATGAAAATGGTCCGCACACTAATTATCTTGGGCTACAACATGCCTAGAACTCAAGGTTATCTTGAATTGTCAGATTTTGTTAGAGGAAGGATAGTTGGTCAAGCAGATGGTGGAATAAGTCAGTGGCAAAATCTGCAGAATTTGGGAATCCCTATTTTGACAGTCAACAGAATCATCGTGCAGTTCTGGAAACACGGCAAGGAAACAACTGAGCAGCATCCGGGTCCATCGGAGAGGAGAAAAAGGGCTGTCAAGAGGAGCATCGAAATGGATCGCAGACTAATGACTGCAGAAGTGGCCAAAGCTGGTGGGATGAGCCCGAAATCTGTTTAACGGATTCTCCACAGATTGGGTTATCGTTGCAGAGCACCTAGAC